ATGCATGCACAGCGACAGATGTAATCAGTTTGCTCAAAAAGCTCTTCTGTGTTGGAAAAGGCGTGGAAGGCAGCGCAGGGAGCTTCGCCCGCTGCTGGATTCCAGGTAAGTTACAAAAAAAACAACTTTATTTGCATGTTTTATTGCTCAGTTTAGGGAGGATCCAATGAATAGGGCATACAGGGAGTGCAGAATTATTAGGCAAATGAGTATTTTGACCACATCATCCTCTTTATGCATGTTGTCTTACTCCAAGCTGTATAGGCTCGAAAGCCTACTACCAATTAAGCATATTAGGTGATGTGCATCTCTGTAATGAGAAGGGGTGTGGTCTAATGACATCAACACCCTATATCAGGTGTGCATAATTATTAGGCAACTTCCTTTCCTTTGGCAAAATGGGTCAAAAGAAGGACTTGACAGGCTCAGAAAAGTCAAAAATAGTGAGATATCTTGCAGAGGGATGCAGCACTCTTAAAATTGCAAAGCTTCTGAAGCGTGATCATCGAACAATCAAGCGTTTCATTCAAAATAGTCAACAGGGTCGCAAGAAGCGTGTGGAAAAACCAAGGCGCAAAATAACCGCCCATGAACTGAGAAAAGTCAAGCGTGCAGCTGCCACGATGCCACTTGCCACCAGTTTGGCCATATTTCAGAGCTGCAACATCACTGGAGTGCCCAAAAGCACAAGGTGTGCAATACTCAGAGACATGGCCAAGGTAAGAAAGGCTGAAAGACGACCACCACTGAACAAGACACACAAGCTGAAACGTCAAGACTGGGCCAAGAAATATCTCAAGACTGATTTTTCTAAGGTTTTATGGACTGATGAAATGAGAGTGAGTCTTGATGGGCCAGATGGATGGGCCCGTGGCTGGATTGGTAAAGGGCAGAGAGCTCCAGTCCGACTCAGACGCCAGCAAGGTGGAGGTGGAGTACTGGTTTGGGCTGGTATCATCAAAGATGAGCTTGTGGGGCCTTTTCGGGTTGAGGATGGAGTCAAGCTCAACTCCCAGTCCTACTGCCAGTTCCTGGAAGACACCTTCTTCAAGCAGTGGTACAGGAAGAAGTCTGCATCCTTCAAGAAAAACATGATTTTCATGCAGGACAATGCTCCATCACACGCGTCCAAGTACTCCACAGCGTGGCTGGCAAGAAAGGGTATAAAAGAAGAAAATCTAATGACATGGCCTCCTTGTTCACCTGATCTGAACCCCATTGAGAACCTGTGGTCCATCATCAAATGTGAGATTTACAAGGAGGGAAAACAGTACACCTCTGTGAACAGTGTCTGGGAGGCTGTGGTTGTTGCTGCACGCAATGTTGATGGTGAACAGATCAAAACACTGACAGAATCCATGGATGGCAGGCTTTTGAGTGTCCTTGCAAAGAAAGGTGGCTATATTGGTCACTGATTTGTTTTTGTTTTGTTTTTGAATGTCAGAAATGTATATTTGTGAATGTTGAGATGTTATATTGGTTTCACTGGTAATAATAAATAATTGAAATGGGTATATATTTGTTTTTTGTTAAGTTGCCTAATAATTATGCACAGTAATAGTCACCTGCACACACAGATATCCCCTAACATAGCTAAAACTAAAAACAAACTAAAAACTACTTCCAAAAATATTCAGCTTTGATATTAATGAGTTTTTTGGGTTCATTGAGAACATGGTTGTTGTTCAATAATAAAATTAATCCTCAAAAATACAACTTGCCTAATAATTCTGCACTCCCTGTATTAACTGTAAAAAAAAGCTTTTTTTTTTTTCTAAAGGATAAGATTTTTGTTCTGCGATATTTGTCACACATTGCTTTGTCCAACACTATATGTGCATACCATTTAATATAATGATACATTGAGATTTAAAAATCAGTAAAGTTTGGATTTTAAACTTATTCTCTATGGGGATTTTTGTTACTAGTTGTTGCATAATTTTTGGCGAGTTATTTTCCTCCTCTTTGGAATTAGTTGATGGCACCCATCTGTAAATGATATGACTAGTTACTAAAGTGAGAATAGTATGAATTCATAGTGAATTTAAATAAATGTCAATGTTAAGGCTAACATTGCTAAACTGGAAGCAAAGCTAATTCGGAGAATGTTTTCATTTTAACTATTTTGTCCTATCTTTAAAGGGTTACTATAGACATCAAAACAACTTTAGCTTAAAGGGACACTCCACTGCCCAAATACAAAATAAGTAAAATCACTGCTTACATATCCCAAATGAAAACTTGCATGCATTTAATTATGTTAATTATGCATTTTTGTAATTGGGAGAAAATCTAAAACAACCTATAAAAGCTGCAGTTGTCTTGTCTGCTGCCTTTCCAAACCTCCCCTTTCTAACCAGCCCAGACTTCCTGTAGCAGCCCAATCACATACTTCCCAATGCAGCTCAACTAGAAGTATTTGCAAGGCAGGTGCCCTGAGCAATTCCTGCCTCTTGAGTTTAGCTCCATTGACCTAATGAAGCAAGGAAGTTAAAGAAGCTGTTGTCTGATTAAAAGTCATGGGGTGTAACCAGTTTAATTCATAAAAGTGTCAATTTTTAAATTGCACTTTTAGCAAAATGAAAAAAAGAGTTCAAGCTCTTCACGCACAAAACTTTTCAGCAAGGTAGAGTGCTTTAGGGGTCTGGAGTGTCTCTTTAATTAAGCAGTTTGGGTGCATAGATTCTGTCCCTGTAGTTTTACTGTTCAATTCTCTGCCATGTAGGAGTGAAATTATTTTTGTTTCTGTCCATGCTGCCCTAGTCACACCACCCTTGGTTATCTCCTGCTCTAAAAAAATTTATTTAATCACACACAGAAGGCTCATGCAGGGTCTAGAAGGCTATTAAAAGAGCAGGGGATAAGAAATGACACATTAAACAGAATTTGCTATAAAGGAAGTATAAACATTAGATCTATCTTTACAGGAAGTGTTTAGGAAGGCGGTGTAAATCAGACGCAGGGAAGTGTGACTAGGATTGCATAAACCAAGTGATTTAACTCTTAAGTGGCAGAGCATTCAGCAGTGAAACTGCATATACACCAAACTGCCTCATTAAGCTGAAGTTGTTTTGGTGTTTATAGTGTCCCTTTAAAATTCACTGGTATTCCAAACAATTCTCACGGTGAATAATCCTGATCGTGTCTTACCTATTATATAAGGAGTAAACTGTCATCTCTATTTTCCAAATGTGGGAGGCATGGATTACTAGGAATTTAACTAAGACTCTAGTAAAACAAAAACATAGGATAATAGTTCTTATTACAATCAGTTATGGGTTTTAATGTGCACATTTACACAATTATTTAACCTCTTAATCTCCAATAACATGACAGGTAGTAATTATTGGAAGGAATTTGCCATAATCATGGGCCTTGAGGAGTTATTCAAATACTTATTAAATAAAATTGTTATTTTAAACTGCCATCTATGAAAATATATTAATGTAGATCATTTTGGACATATCAATTACAATTAATCCAGTCTAATTAACAACAAAATACGTATTTAACAATGAGTTTTTTATTGTTCTGTTACTAATGCTGACTTTTTATATTTGGTTTTAGCCAAGAACTGAAACTCACATTGATGTAAGGGAATAATGAACAATTTTATATTCAACATAATGAAGAGAGCTCTAATGTCTGACCGTACTGCGGAGATATTTTAACAGAGTACCTTGGGATATATTCAATACAACAAATCTGATTAAAAGGGCTATTGTGAAAATCAGTAATTTGTAAGGCTTATTTTTTCACTCCTGTGGCTGGTTGAATATTATGACTGAATAAATTCTGTTGCTGTCCCATGATTCACATATTTTGTCCTGGAGTAAGACTCTCAAAATTTGCAGGCAGCCTGGAATATGATTGTCTTGATGCTCCACTAACTGGATTACTAAAGGAACACTATAGGGTCAAGAATACAAACATATATTCTTGACCCTGTAGTGTTAAAAACACCATCTAGCCCCAGTTACCACCCTTAATATAGTAAAATCTTACCTTTATTCCATTCTGCTACTGCTGGATCTGCCCCTGATCCTTGGCTGACTTCATCAGAAGTGGTGATTTCAAGGAGGCAGATCAGGGGCAGAGCCAGCACTAGCCAAAGACAGCACTGGCCAATCAGCATCTCCTCATAGAGATGCATTAAATCAATGTATATCTGTGAGGAAAGTTCAGTGTGTCCATGCACAGGGCGGAGATACTGAATGTCTGTGCTGCACACTGTGCAGCAATGCCCTAGAAAGCACACCTAGTAGCCACCTCAGGAATTGCCAGTGGAGGTATCCCTAGGCTGTAATGTAAACACTGCATTTTCTCTGAAAAAAACAGTTTACTGCAAAAGGCCTGAAGTGACTAATTATACTCACCAGAACAAATACAATAAGCTGTAGTTGTTCTGGTGACTACAGTGTCCCTTTAACTGAAGTTAGACTTGAAAGTGAATTTTATTGAATGCCTCCAGTCTTGATACCTTTAGTTTAAAATCAGTTTAACATAAGTGTTTGATAAATATTTCTGATCCTATAGTTTTGTATAGGGTTCAGATGTAAAATACACTGATTTTAAAGCCGACACAAAATGCAACTGGCCAGTTGGTGCAGATTCAATCAGTTTAACTGAATTCAGACTGGAATTGGCTAAAGTAAATATGAATGCCATTCTGGTCAGTTATTTTCACCAGATTTTGTCCATCTGAACAAAATCATTACTAAATAAAGCAAATTCCACAAATTGATTTTTTTAATGTCTGCCAGAGGCAGCATAGGCAATCGTCTTTTCACACAAGTGATGGCTTGTTATTCAGTTTCAGATACCTTTCCGTCATTTAAAATTGCTAAAGTTCTCTAAATCGGGTGACCTTACTAATAGGAGTAAAATATTAAATTCACCACATTGACAGTAGGTCAGATAAAGGAGAACAGAAAGGTAAAGACTGGGTGTAAAACTGACTCCAAGCTTCTTGATGGTCAGTCTTAACACAATAGATCTTAGTAACATAACAGGCATGAAAGAATAGTCCAAGGAAAGTCAAGGGTGGGGAAACACACAACAATGGATAGGATAGGACGTTCAAATGTTAAAATTAACAGCTTAATCAAGAAACACTTAGGTCAAGAAAAAAACACAAGACAAATTGTGAAGCAGCTGGTTTAATAACAAAATTACTTAGTATTTACTAAAGGGCATGAAACCACAATTAGCTACTGGAGAAGCAGTGCCACATTGCAGCAAAACGCCTCACTATAACATTTAAAAAAAAAATAAAAAAAATTATTTTTCTTTATTTAAAAAAAAACAAAAAAACATTTATAGTGGGGTGTGTGGCTGGATTTGGCACCACCCATTCTAGCTATAATGGTCGCGGTCAAGGAAATGGGCAGCAGAGTTGCCAATTCACATGATGTGATTGTATGACGCATGATATGCAAGCATTCCTCCCAATCACCCGACAACCATGTTCTTTCACACAGTGTCTGGGCTGTAAGGTAAGGTTAGGTTACTGCAGTACCCAAAAAAGTAGATTAAACACAATCTAACTCAGTGCAGCATGCACCTACCACTCAAGCAGGGAAATACAATAGAATACAAAAGGAAAAATGAGGACGGCGCCATCAGATGTAATAGTGCACCCAAGGTGCTACCAGTGGTTTATTAGAAGGACAAAATTTTGTCCTCCCAATAAACAAATGTAGAACCTTGTGTGCACTAGTACATCTGATGTGCTTCCCTCATTTTAAATTTTTTGTTTTACTTATCACAACATATTGGTGTCATGCATATACGGTACCAGCGCAGCTCAACAACTTTCTGTGATTGGCTGGGTAGCAAAAAGTATTATGCACTATTTAATCAATCACGGCCACACAGAGAGCTCAGAGACAAATCCACATGCTGCAAAGCTAATGTTGCAGGTTTTCAGTGATAAAGAGTGTCTCTCTCCTGCCTGAGTTCTGGGAAATTGATGAACAGAACAGAAAAGACTGCAAGCAACATGTTAATCTCCTTACTTGCGCTTGCTCTTATTTGTCATTTATTTGAGCTCTTGTCCTTTTTTTAAACTGATAATTCAAGTGGCGTCACCTTGTGTGACATTCCCTGTGACAGTACTATATCATTGTTGTTGCTTCATGTGTTCACTTGAAATTCATGTGTTCACTTCACTGTTGTCAACTAATGAGCACATTAGCAAAAACAATAGAATAATTTTCAAAAATGGCAGGTCTGTGGCAGTGTCCTGTGTGGTGTTGGAGATAAATGTCACAGTCAGAGCCATGCTGCTTATTCAATTTTCCTGTTAAAGGGTTACTACAACCACCATGACCACTTCAGAGATTTTGTACAACATACAGTATTAGAGCAGTATGCGGCTGAAAGTGTAACTCCACCCCCATTAGTGCTATTAACCAACCCAGAATGAGAGGCTGTCTAATGTGAAATCTGTGCATATTTGGCATGTGCTGTAAGCACGCATGTCATAGTGGCCATACTTCTAAGTCCTCCCCTCAGCCTGTCTCCTGGTATAACCCTGTCTCTCCAAGCAAGAGTATAGGGGCTGTCTTACCTCAGGGTTTAAACCATTTTCAAATAGTTTAACCCCGAAGCTGTCCAGCGATCAACACCGCTGACCCTCACTTTTTTATCTCCCTGCCACCACAATATTTGGAAGGTTTTGCCAGGTTTGTGGTGAGTTAAGAGTGTCTGTATGTACTGTCTCTCCTAATAGACATCCACTGATAGTCAGAGAACAGCGGTGATAGTCTCAGAGCAGACCAATAGACAACCTTTGGGTTTAACTCCTAAAGGTAACATGCCGCCAGACACTCCAGCCCCGATAACATCATCACAGCAGTAATACTCACAGTAATTTCTTTAAACTACAGGAATATATATTTAGAAATCAGCCTGTATAAATAAGACACGTTGTTCTAAATTACATTTTATTTACCTAAAATTTCTCAGAACTGCCTCGTCCCCAGCCCCTGGCCACAACCCCTACTAACACAATGAAAGTGTCCCTCTTCATCTATTTTAAATGTTGGGAGGAATGAGATTATCATAACCACCCAAGGTTAGTTTGCTTTGGACAGATAATATGGAAGTTCACTGCAAAGATTAATGTGCCAAGGAGAGCCCTGTCTTCTGTCAAACATCGTGAAAACATGATAAGACATGGAGGATAGCAACCAAAGGCATTTTGCATCATAACTACCATAATGAACGGTATTGATTGTGACGATTAGTGTGCTTTTTTAAGAATGAACAAAATACAAATATTCAGCATTATTAACTTGTAGGGTCTTGTGAGTCACAAGAGTGACTATACAGATTATAAAAACTCTTTTATGTGGCACTTGCTCATGGTTGTCTGTTTCCTGTAATAAAATCCCAATGACATCTCAAAAACAAGTTGGCAGGAATTAGCCACATAATAATTTTTTATCTATAATGAGTCAACAATGTGAGCGGAGGCAGGTTTCTTCACCCACGCACCTTTCAAACATTAGAATTGGAAAAGGAAGGACATTTTAATGTTAGGGTTGTGAGTAGGTGTGTGGCCAGAGGCGGAACTGTTCTGAGAAAGTTTAGGCGATTTACTATTAACAATTCATGCAATTAAATTGTAAATTAGAACAAGAACAATGTATCTTAGTTACGGTGACTGATTTCTAAACATATTTGTTGTAATTTAAAGATATCACCTGGACTGCAAGGAAGGGGAAGCATGACTGCTGCCCTGCAGTAAGGGGGTGGGAGATAGATGGATGCATAGTTGCCAAGATGGGGGATAAGAAGGGGAGTAGAGGGGAGGGTACTCACCAGTGCAGAAGGAGCAGTCTGGAACAGTTTCCCTCCCTCCCTCCCTTTCCCTATGCTAATGTAATGGTTTTTGCTTGTGGTGTTGTTTGTTTTCTGTTCTTGTTTTTTCACAGCTATGGCGGTGTTCCTGGCCAGCGCATGTAATGCACGATAAAAGGATTTGGGGAGTCGCAGCCTGCTAGGGCTGATGGCAGAAGGCAGGCTGTATGAACTCTGGATAAAGACTCGGAGTATCTGTCAGTTGGGTAGTCACCCCAACAGCTGACAGGTGGAAAATGCTGTCTGTGTTAAAGTTTAAATAAAGCTGTGGCGGTTGCCCTTATCCAACACTCAGGTGTCATGTCGTTATTGGGGGGTAACGGGTTTTGGTATTGGGTCAGCAGTCAAGACACATTACTGTGAGCATTATTGTTGTGGAGATCTGGTGTACACTCAGACACACCAACAATATGGAACTTCTAGGAAAGAGCGATATTGGGATAGAAAAGAGAGATTTGAGATCAAAATATGAACTGTCCCTCCTTACTAGGAAGTTATGCACGCTCATATGTACGCTCATAGGTCTTGATCTTAGTAAGCAGGTCTGGCAGAAAAATGCAGTTTTACACAAATAACAAATATACCAATAGCGGACATATTTACAATAGTCAAAATAAAACTGTCTCACCCAGCTCAGGATCATTCAAATGGCAGCGCTTGGAGAGGAAACATGAAGCGGTCACCTCAGCAATGACAGTAAATTCTGCACATGCAATGATTGGAATAAGGAAGCCAGCACATATATACACTCAAGTAAGAGTGCAGTGCAGATACACAGATGTCAATTTAACAATAATAATGAAATATAAATTCCACCCTAAAGTATTCAATTCTCAACCTTAGTTGTTTGACTTTATTGCTCCACAAGTGGACCCAGCAATGTTTCAACCAGATTTAAGCAGGCTGTTCGATTGCATTAGAAGTATTTTACAGAGTGAAACTTTTAACCATTACAAGTATAATATTGAATCCATCTTGTATATGTAATCATACAAGTGGAGTGTATGGTCAAAGAAAGAAAAGAGTTAATATTTATTAATCTTTAATGCCAGCACAGTATAGAATCCATCACAAAAGTGAAAAGTGCAAGCTCGTCTAAGGAAAGGATTCATGTTCATCAGGGAAGGTGAGCGCAGTAAATGAACTACACCTTGCCCCGCTCTTCAACTGGCTCCGAAGACACTTTGCTGAGGCCCAGGGCAGACTGGACCATAAGGCAAATGCCACCCAGGCTTTCCTTGAATGTCCTATACAACATCTGCAGAGCCTTCACCAAAACACACACAAAATTGAACAATAAAACCAGAACCACGTGTGCACGATTTGGTGGTCATGCAGCCATGAGGGCAGTAGCTGAGGCTTATTGGTTGGCTCAATAAGTGGCCCATTAATAGTGCACTGGACCGGGTCTGTGCACCATCAAGTCTTCCCTGCGGCTTACTGGGAAGAAGTCAGCACAGCCTGGAGAGAGCCGCGCAGGAAGGGTTGGCACGCACACAAATGAGGGAGTGGGAGGACCAAACTCACATGCACCCTTACAGTCCCAATTTTAGTGTGACGGTCACAATTGTAGGCGACATCCTGACTTTGTTCCCTAATGTCATACTTTTAAGGCAAACCAAAAAACTGTCCCTAAAAAGTGTAGTGTAAGCCCATCATTAGACATTCTCATCCTGCACTCAGGGTACTAGGACCTGAAACAGTGCTACCTGCAAGTCCTGCCCTCGGTAGGCTTGACTGCTTGGCATGCATTGACACCAGGTTAACCTGCCAATGCTTTGGATGAACCCTTTCTGTACATGTTCAGCCCCTATTGGCTGAGCCAGTGACACAATCACATCACTGAACTGCGCCACAATGTCCTGCTTCACAGAATGCAAATGAGGGATATGCCATCAGCCTTGGCCAGCTGGCTTCCACTGGACACCCAAAAAGAGAGTCAAAAGAGTGTGACTAAAATATGTGAATTGTTACTTATGTTTGCGTATCAGATTGTATGTAAATCTGTCTGTTTGTGTCACAAACTTACCTTTACCCGGCGCTTGCGCTGCGCCTCTCCTCTGGCCACGCGGGCACAATGCACTGCATGACCACACTGCCTCAGTCCTATATACTTACCTACGGTCACTCAAACGGCTCCTTCTGCTGGATCACGGGACGAACTGCAGCCCTTATAAATAAAAGATAAAGCCATGAAGTCATTACCTTAAAGGGACCATGTCATCTAGGCGACGCATTGCTGTTTGGGCTCGCAGAGATGACCTGGACCAATGGGAACTCTTGAGCTCTATTTAAGGCTTGTTTTAGCCTCCATTCTTTGCCCTATTGTGGTTTCTGTTTGGATCTCGTTTAGTGCTCCTGGTGATTACCTTGTGATTTCCTGTGTTTGACCTCGGCTTTGTATTTGACTTTTGATTTCTGCTATCCTGACCCAGGCTTTGTATTTGACTTCTGATTTCTGGTATACTGACTCCGGGTTCATTTTTGACTCGTGATTTCTGGTATCCTGACTCCGGCTTCATTTTTGATTCGTGATTTCTGGTATCCTGACTCCGGCTTCATTTTTGACTCGTGATTACTGGTATCCTGACTCCAGCTTTGTCTTGAATAACAGTATTTCTGTCATTCCTGTCCTTGATTTATCTTAACGCTGTTTCTTGTTGTATTTATACGTTAAGTACGGCCATTCTAGGGCTTGGTAATATACCTTTCTGATCCACCTTTTGTGGGTTTCCTCTTTCCTGTGTATTGGGGTACGACTCCCATGACAGTTTGTATCTGAGTGTGTACATATATGTGTTTGTATCCAGGGCACACAATGACACACATGCAGATACACAGAGACACATACAGATACACATGCAGACACAGATACACATATAAATACACATACACACAGATATATACAAACATACAGACACACAGATATACATACAAGCAGATAAACACAAACAGATAGATACACAGAAATACATACAGGCACACAGATATACACATACACACCTACAGACACATGCAGATACACAGACACACCTACAGACACATGCAGATACACAGACACACAGATATACAGACACACATACAGACATACAGGCAGATACACAAACACACAGATATACAGACACACATACAGACATACAGGCAGATACACAAACACCCAAATAGATACACATACAGATACACATATACACACGCATAAGACACACAGATAGATACACATACAGACACACAGATATAAACATACAAACAGGCAAACAGACACACAAATATACATACAAAAAGATACACAGACAGAGAAACACAGACACATATAGAACACATCAGATAAACAGACACATATACAGGCACACATGCAGACATACAGACACATGCAGACACACAGATACACTTACAGACACACAGATACACACACACATGCAGACATACAGACACACACATACAGGCACACATATACACATACAGACACACAGATACACACACAGATTCACATGCATACATACATACACGCATATAGACACACAGAATCACATACAGACACACATGCACACACACAGATAGATACACAGACAAACACGCACACATAAATAAGTGCACAGATACAAATACAGACACACATGCACACGCACATATAGATAGATATACACACAGAGAGACGAACAAGCATGCAAAAAGTACATATTAGCCACCCTCCTGTTCCTACCTTTTACATGCAGGAAGGTGGCTTCCCTGGGGTCCTGTGGCTGGCTAATAATGACGGGAATCAGAAGCACTCACTCTACACTCCCCTCCTCTCTGCCTTCCTCCCGCATGGCGCTCAGTGTTAGCTGTGAGTAACTAGCCGGCTGTCACTTTCTTTCAGCACCGGCTGACATCACAGGGGCCCAGTCGCGCTAATAAAGGGCCACAGCACTGACCTGGCCTCTGAGGACACAATGCCATTGGGTGGCCCTAAGTGCATGGGGGCCCACTGCCCGCATTAATTTCTTTTAGAATCTGTGATTCTAAAACAAATTATTACGGGCCGCGGACAAATAGGGGAGCTGCTTTTGGCTCCTCAAGAGTAACTGGACCCAGGGTTGCTGTCCCGTTTGCCCCACGTTAAAGACGCCCCTGAACCCTAACATGGTTTTTATTAGCCATGCCCCGGCTTAACATCTGTTTTAGCTAAAGATAATAAAAAAGTTATGTAGCCAAAGTAACACTACCACCTATATTAAGTGTTAGTAAAAAGTGGAATTTCTTAGAGATACACTCCAAACACCATAACCACTACATCAAACTGTAGTGGATATGGTGCCAGGAGTGCCCTGAACCCTCCTTTCACAATTTAAATAGTCAAACCAAGCATTTGAAGAATTTTTGACTTCTCAGTTGAGACTGCTCCCAGCGTTCCTGGGCTTATCTCTTTGCCGAGAGTGATCAACTGAAGATCTTATCTAATGAGCTGACCCTACCCAGCAGGGTTTAAAATAAGAGAGGTCGTGCAGGGCCTGGCCTGGCCACCGAGCAGACTGGTCGCACTAAACCAGAGTGTCACGTATTCATCCGCTTATAAAAATGTGGTTAATGGCATTTACTGTCCACACATGAAAAGTTGTGCCGAGCAGCAACCAAATCCACAGAAGGGTTAATGCTGAGCAGCAATTATGCAAATGGGAACCTGGTAACTGCCTTTGGGGTCAGAGGACGGTTACAGCCTATCAGATCTAGAGGAGGGGTATTTAGGCCCAGTTCTCATCCTGCTCAGTGCCCTGTCGTGGTTTCCCCTGTGGTTGTCCGAGAGCACGTTATTGATTTTGGTTATTCTGGTTATTTGACTTTGGCATTGTTTTTGACTTCCCTGTTTTCTGGCATCCCTGACTCCTGGCTTTTCCTTATCATTGTGTCTCTTTCTTTATCCCTTGACCTCGGCTATTCCTGACTATTCTTTGGTACATTAGTCCGGACATTCTAAGGTCCGGTATACGTTACCTATCAGTCCTCTGTGTTACACAATTCTACGTGCTGGATCATTCTGGGGTAGGGGCAGTTCTCTCCCAGAGGGAGAGCCAGGAAACTCCGTTACATCCTCGTGGTTACTTTTCTAGAAAGTTGTCTCCTGCTGAGCGCAATTACGATATTGGCAATAGAGAATTGTTGGCCATTATTCTAGCTCTCAAGGAGTGGCGACATCTTCAAGAGGGTTCCAAGGACCCCCTTTTGATCATTACTGATCACAAAAACCTGGCTTACATAGGAGATGCTAAGCGATTATCTTCTAGACAAGCTAGCTGGTCTCTATTTCTTTCTCGCTTTAATTTTCTTATCACCTACAGACCTGGTTCTAAAAATGTTAAGGCCAACACCTTGTCCAGGCAGTTTGATACGGAGGCTATACTAGAGCAAGAAACATCTCATATCATTCCCCCGAAATGTATAATTGCATCCACTGTCCTTTCATTGTCCTCTCCACTGCTTGGCCCCATCATGGAGGCTCAGTCTCAGGCGCCCTGCGGTAAACCTGGACAAACTGTTCGTTCCATTGGGGGAAAGGGTTAGTATCATGAAGGTGTTTCACGACAATGTGTCTGCTGGTCACCCAGGTATTAATAAATCGACTTCTGCTATCATGAGGTCATTCTGGTGGGATTCCCTCAGGAAGGATGTTAAGGAATATGTGCAGGCTTGTTCTGTTTGTGCGGTTTCAAAGTGCCTCATAAAATCCCTTGTGGCTTGTTACAACCTCTTCCTATTCCTGAGGTCCCATGGTCCCACTTGTCCATTGGCTTCATTGTTGAACTTCCTAGTTCTAACGGTTATACCACCATTCTCATGGTTGTGGACCGTTTTTCTAAAATGGCTCATTTTATTCCTTTCAAGAAATTATTGTCATCTCAAGACCTGTTACTGATCTTTATACGTGAGATTGTCCGTCTGCATGGCATTCTTCACAATATTGTATTTGATAGAGGTTCTCAGTTTGTATCCTGGTTTTGGAGGGCTTTTAATAAGCAATTGGGGATTGAATTGTCTTTTTCATCCTCTTACCACCCCCAGACTAACAGTACAGCTGAGAGGGCTAACCAGTCTTTGGAGTTATACTTGCGTTGTTTTGTTAATAGCACTCAAGACAATTGGTCCGAATTATTACCACGGGCCGAGTTTGCTAGGAACAATGCTGACCTTGATTCCTCTGGGCATAGTCCATTTTTTGTTAATAATGGGCGGCATCCTACTGTCCTACCGGCTGTTTTTTCTGATACGGCTATTCCTGCTTTGGATGACTGTCTGGCTTTCATCCGTGATACCTGGGTTAAAGTTCAATCTGCTCTGGGTACTGCTGCTGACCGTTTCAAGCAGTATGCTGATACACGTCGAGGTGCCAACCCTGTTTACCAAGTGGGTGAGAGGGTTTGGTTATCTTCTCGTAACATCAGGCTGAAAGTCCCTAGCATGAAATTTGCTCCTAGGTTCCTTGGACCTTTTTGTGTCCTTCGTAGGATCAATCCTGTTGCGTACTCTCTGGCCCTTCCGGCCTCCTTGAAAATTCCTAATACCTTTCATGTGTCCTTGCTCAAACCTCTTGTTTGCAATAAATATACTGTTTCAAGTGTCCCTCCTCCTCCCTTAGTTGTTTCTGGGCAGGAAGAGTATGAGGTCTCCTCCATAATTGATTCCAGGTTTTCTTGGGGCACTTTACAGTACTTGGTGGATTGGAAAGGTTATGGACCAACCGATCTTGGGTTCCGGCATCTGATATACATGCTGGCCGCAAGATACGCTATTTTCATGCCAGATTTCCTCTCAAGCCTGGTCCTGCCCGTGGTTGTCCGAGAACACTTTATTGATTTTGGTTATTCTGGTTATTTGACTTTGGCATTGTTTTTTGACTTCCCTGTTTTCTGGCATCCCTGACTCCTGGCTTTTCCTGATCATTGTGTCTCTTTCTTTATCCCTTGACCTTGGCTATTCCTGACTATTCTTTGGTACGTTAGTCCGGCCATTCTAAGGTCCGGTATACGTTACCTATCAGTCCTCTGTGTTACACAATTCTACGTGCTGGATCATTCTGTAATCCTAACACAGAGCTCCGAGTAGGAACCTGCAAATAAGTGACTTATTACTGATGTAACTCGACGAACCTACTAATTTGGAGCAACAGAGCATCAGTGTTACCCTGAGACTCAACTGGGCGGATTGCAGTGCTCGGAGAAATACACTGAAGCAGACACAGAGTTACGGCCTACCAGCAGATGCAAGCGTGGGAGAGGCGCCCAACCTCCTCGCGAGCTGTCATGCGGGAAGATGCTGAAACGCTTGGGACCCCGTTTCCCCCCTTGCCGGTGAGGGGTATCCCGGCACAATCGACAAGCTAACAGGTTTTGCCATGAAACAGCAAGCGGCATCAGGAAACTCACCCGATCCAGTCTCGGCCAAGATGGCGACCGCCATGCCGACGACTAACAGCCGGCTGGAAAACTATGAACAGCAGCCGGACAACGACCTCTCGATACAGAGGCACGATCCGCGCAGAGCAGAGCCGGACCTTCTGGTATTGCTGGACAACGCGATACACCTTCTCGACCAAGCATTCCAGAGATCATGGCGATGGCTGGAGGCCCAGATGTCGGTGTCGCAGGCCCGGCATCTGGGGAGAGAGCGTGGTGATGGGGGCCTGGGCCTTCTCAGTGCACGGCAACCCCACAAGTAATGGTGAGATCCGATCCTAGCCTGCCACAGCGGAAGCACACGCTGACAGAGATAGTGAGGCCTCGAAAGCAGATAAGCAACACCCATCTGAAGCCACTGCATGGCACATGACCCCTGAAGTCTTACTTGCCTGCACAAACACTCGGGAACCCCAGCGGCGGACACGTGGCTCGGCGCCCAGAGGTGGCCTACATCAAGCGGCAAGGCCCGCACCGCCACCAACAGAAGAAGCTTGAGCATGGACATTCCAGACAGAAAAGCAAACATACATCAGACGGGAAGCACCAAGGCCAGATGGCAACCCACAAAGGAGGGCTGAACACCCGCCATCTTCAGAACTACCAACAAGGCACCTTCATATTGGGACTTGCCTCTTTGGGCCGGTCGCCTTGCTCCACAAGATGGGACTTAGACTTGCTGCCCACCCCAGCTATAGCACACCAACACAAGCGGGGCATTATTGTATTGTATGATGGACAGATTATACGTTCCGCTTGTTAGGATGATGTATCTTTCAGCATGCTACTAACCTATGTCAGTCATGTCAATTAATTTCCTGTAACCACAACTCTTGCTATTGTAACTTGCATTTACTAATATTCTGATCTACTCAGCATTACTCTAACGTTTAAACAAAAATGTGCCAATAATCTTAATGCTCCAACTGTTATGCTTGAAAATATGCTCAAGGAATGCTATTGGGGCACCACGAGCTTGTATGTTTTTCACTGAAAGCACAATAAAAATAAAGAATTAAAAAAAAAAGAGAGGTTGCAGAAGCATGTTGTGATAAGGGCTGGTGTAGTGGGGGCTGAAAGGTAAGTATTTCTCACGTTTTAAACCCTCACACCCCCGGGAGACACATAGACAGGTCTCAGGACACTGTAGCATTATGAATACTGTACATGTTTGTACTCCTAACGCCTGAAAATCATGTTAGAACTTGGTTTTATATACACAGCAACTAGCACTAAGTTATACTATATTATTGCCATGTATGTGCTAAATATAAATTCAGCATTATGACATTAAACAATTTTATTATCAGCAGGTCACTGAGAACAATTTTATATCCACTATAAAGATATTTTATTGATGCAGAAAAGAGCAATAGCATTTGCTAACAACAAAAGGCAAATGTTGATTGTAAGACGTGATCTACAATTGTCAAACAACAATATATAGGCCAAAAGTCATTTACATTTTTGATAAACTATAAAGATCTGTGACTGAAAATAACAATTTACAGTATATCAAAACTAACTTTGGAGAAATGTAGTTATAAGACCAGTCAACAAAAATAAAAAAAAATTAAATACTTAAATCCAAAGTTGTGATGAGTTACATTAGGGCACACAATCTAAGTCAGACCAAAAACAAGTTAGTAAGAATAAAGTAACTCAAGTGTGACAAAAATCTCCGATTGGTGACTACTAAATTTGTTTGAGATCTCTAAAATGACTTGCCATCCAGTCTTTCGCCCAGGGGCAAATCATACATCATCATACATTGTACATACTAAAGAATACTGTTTTTTGTTTTTTTTTTATAAAGGTTATTTAGCAGGTGAAAACATTACAATTGAATGTGAGAACTGAGTATTTCAAAGTATTAAAGGCTATACATGCCTAATGCCTGGTACAGTGATGGCGAACCTTTTTGAGCCGGAGTGCTCAAACCGCAATACATGACAACTTTTTTTCCCTCAATGTGCCAACACGGAAATTAAACCTGAATACTGAAGTTTAAGTTTAGAAAAAATAACTCGTACAGTTGTCTGAACTATTTAACAACTTTAGTTTTAAAAGAAGAACACAACAACAGAGTTCAATGATACAAATTTTAAATAATGATATAAATCGATAAAATGAAGCTTATATTTATTAGTATCTTCAACAAATGCAATACATACACACACAGACTGCTGAATACACACACACAGACTGCTGAATACATACACACAGACTGCTGAATACACACACACAGTCTGCTGAATACACACACACCGACTGCTGAATACACACACACACAGTCCACTGAATACATACAGGGTGCTGTGCGGGGAGGTAGAGGTGCCGTGTGTGTTTTGGGGGGTAGGGGTGCCGTGTGTGTGTTGGGGGGTAGGGGCACCGTGTGTGTGTGGGGGGGTAAGAGTACGTGGTGTGTGTGGGGGCAGGGATAATGTGTGGAGGGTGGGGAAGGTAGGGGGCTGTGTGGGGGAAAGTAGGGGGTGCTGTGTGGGAAGGTATGGGTCATGTGTGTGGGGTAGGGGTGCTGTGTGTGGGGGTAGAGGTACTGTGTGTGTGTGGGGGTAGAGTGCTGTGTGTGTGTGGGGGGTAGGGGTACTGTGTGTGTGTGTGGGGTAGGGGTACTGTGTGTGTGGGGTGAGTAGGGGTACTGTGTGTGTGTGGGGTGAGTATGGGTACTGTGTGTGGGGGTGGGTAGGTGCGGTGTGTGTGGGGGTAGGGTACTGTGTGTGGGGGTGGGGTACTGTGTGTGTGGGGTGGGTAGGGGTACTGTGTGTGTTGGGGTGGGTAGGGTACTGTGTGTGGGGGTGGGGGTACTGTGTGTGTGGGGGGTGGGGTTACTGTTTGTGTGGGGGTGGGTACTGTGTGGGTGGGTGGGGTGCTGTGTGTGTGGAGGGGGTAGGGGTGCTGTGTGTGTGGAGTGGGGGAAGGAGTGCTGTGTTGGGGGATGTGGTGGTAAAAAAAAAAAAAAGAATAGTGTATTAAGTCTGTATCCCCCCCTTCCTCCCTCCTTCTTACCTTTGATGAAGGGGGGGGGGGGAACAGCCCTCCCTGGTGGTGGTAAGGATTGTAGGGAGCAACTCTCCTGTCCTCCCACGCGATGCTGTGTGGAGCGTTGCCATGGTAACGCGCGGCAACGCTCCACACAGATTGCTCGCGGGAGGACAGGAGAGCTGCTTCCTAGAGCCCTTCCCTTGTCCACCCGACACAGAAGCAGAGTACGCGCTTGCCGTTTTGGGCAGGCAGGCACCTACTCTGCATTGATGGCGAACCTATGGCCGCGTGCCCACACCTGTGGCACGCATGCCATAGATTAGCCATCATTGGCCTAGTATGTGTACCGTATAATCTAGGATGAAAAAAAAAAAACGAAAACCTGAGAAGAATCTGCTGGCCTAGAGAAAACATCTGTGCAAATATACATAAACTCCAGATGTTGCACGCTGGAGTTAGAAACTAAACCAATAAACAGTATAATGGTCTTCAAGGTTGCAGCCTACCTTTATCCACTGATGGAAATGGTTGAGATGAGATTCATGGGGGCTCTTACAGACACTATTATGATGGCTCATAACACACTAACAATTAAAATCATTCAAAAAGTGGAATGAAACATAAAAATTATGAAGTATAAGATATAAAAAATTGGGGGAGGGATTCCTAATATAGGAAGAAAAGAAAGGTAAAATGGAATGTTTAGGGTTAATGTCTTACAGTGGTTTTGAAAAAAACAAGCACTAGTAATACAACACAACTTGACTGTGCCCTGGGTTTTGGCCATGACTTAAAGGGACATTATAGGCACACAGACCACTTCAGCTCATCGAAGTAGGCTGGGTGCAGTGCCCCAGTCAGTTTAAACCTGCAATTGTAATTATTACAGTTATTGATAGACTGTAATAATTACATTGGAGGGTTAACTCCACCTCTAGTGGAGACATCTACCAGACAGCCTCTAGAGGGACTTCCGGGTGGTTAGTTGACTTTTGGTCTTCTAACTGATGCTGGGCATCCTCACGTTGTGCACAAGGACATCAAGAATCAGCTAAAACCACATAGGAAAGCACTATACAATGTTTTCCTATGTGGAAGTTCTAATGAGATCGTAACGCATGCGCATTAGGTTTCTCCCACCGGCTGACGTCGGCAGCAGAGGAGTTGTGACAGAGCCTTTTCCAGAGGGACATCGGCAGTGGATTAAGGTAAGTGTCAAAAAATGTCTAACCCTTTTATCACTGGGGGGGAGAGACGCGCGAGCGAGGTGGGCACTATAGGGTCCTATAGTGCTAGGAATGCAACTTTGTATTACTAGCAGTATAGTTTCCATTTAAGTCAGTAATTGTAAGAACTCCTGGTTCAGCTGATCCATTTCCTGTTACAGCGCAGTGCAGTGGCTGATCATGTAAGGGGCCAGTAACATTATGTCTGCACAGGGCATATCATCATGGTAGTCACAGAACATGGCATACTGAAGGTAGATATACTCTAAGCCTAGATCCTCCTAATCTTTATTTATCCCTAAATCTCCAAAAACAAACCTAACTCTACTCCTACACTAGACCTAACACTGCACCAACACTAACCCTAAAACTACACCAATATTAGTCCTAGCCAGTAGTGGGATTAAACATTTTTAGTAACCAATTCCGACTTTTCATGTTTCCAACTCCACAGGGTCGACCTAAGACATTGTGCTGCCTGGTACCAAGACTCCACCCCCCCTCCCCCAAGTCATGCGCGCTCACACACATGCACATCAACGCAGTCACACATATATGCCCTGGTAGGCAAAAACACATGGGCGGCAGGGTAATTCTATTAATGCAATAAATGCGTAAACCTTCTATATCATGCCAGTAAGCAGCAAATGCGTAAATTTGATATATCATGCCAATGAGCAAATGCATAAACTTGATATATCATGCCAATGAAGCAATAAATACATAAACTTGATATATCATGCCAATGAGCAGTAAATGCATACATCCTGAATATCATGCCAAAGAGCAGTAAATTCTTAAACTTTGTATATCATGCCAATGAACCACGTGTGGCTCCAAAACATCTGCTAGTGCCATGTGCTCCCAAACAACCTGCCAGTGCCATCTCTCTGCTTGTGTGTGCCATCTCTCTGATGTTAGCCTCACTATCTCATCTCTCTACCACCAGGCTCTCTGTGCCATCTCCCTTCCCCCAGCCACTCTGGGCCACCTCTCTGCCCTATGCGCCATCTCTCTGCCCTTAGCTTCCCTGAGCCATTTTTCTGCCATCATCTCTGTGCCCCCTCTCTGCCACCATCATCTGTGCCATTGCTCTAGCCCAGCCACTCTGTGCAATCTCTCTGCCCTTAGCCGCCTTGTGCTATTTTTGCCACCAGCATCTCTGTGCCATCTCTCTGCCACCAGCCTCTCTGTGCCATGTCTCTGCATTTAGCCTCTCTGTGCCATTTCTCTGCCTCCAGTGAGGGCGACAGAGCATGTGTGGGAGAGTGACAGTGTGTGGGAGCAGAGCCGTCCTTAGGGGTGTGCGAGCTGTGCGGCCGCACAGGGCGCCATGGAGCAGGGGGCGCCGTGCAGCCGACACAGTTGAGAGGCAGTGATCGGCTGATGACCGATGAGCCTCAACATCGCCTGGCACGCGGTGGTAGTTCCACACGGGCCGCACGCACCACGGCGGCGAGAGGGCTAAAGGAGCAGCTTCTTTGGGCCCCCTAAGACTGACTGGGCCCAGGGCAGCTGCCCCTTTTAAAGACGTCCCTGACTATGGTATGTGTCATGACTGTATACTAATTCACATAAGTCATGTGTTCTTAAGAGGCATATTGTGGACCATGTGCAAACCAACAATGAAATAGACATCATGTCTCCACATGTTACTGAAAAGCACCTCAAAGAAAATATTAGCATCTGTCATTCTTAATTTAATTCTTAATTTAGGTATGCAATATTTTTTTTAATTTAAGTTCTATTCAATGTGAGTTTCTTTTTAAGAGTAAGTTTATTTGTAGGAAGCAAGGGGTCATCCAGGACAGTATTATCAAAGAGGCTAGACAAGGTGAAAGAGGAGAGGCATATATCAGTTTTGTAATCCCTATTTTAGTTATATAACTTTAAAAAATATATCCAGCACATGTGTGCTCACGTAGAGGATAATCGAACAATGTGTACTGGTCCACCTCTTTCCTTAAAAAAAAGACAATAGCACCTTACAAAATCTCATGCATTAGATCCCTATGAAGTTAATCTTAAAAGACCAGGGATTATTTACAGATATTCCCCTGCAAAGGAATAATCATATAATAATAATAAATAATTCTACTTCTTAGTATATAACCTAGTATTTGAAGGACTTTAATAAAAATAGTTTATTGCGGTGAATTGAAACCTTAATTGTGAAATGTAACCCAAAATAGCTGCACTAGAGAAATTTTATATTTTGGTGGCTATTTTAACATAATATGAATTCAGTTAAATTTTCAACATATCTCACTCCACTAGGACGTCTAGAAAGATAACCTGTAAGATTACATTCTAGGACCGTTACTCCAGTTGAGACAAAAAGTAGCCAAGGAGAAACTAAAGATGAAAGATGAGAAATTTAAAGGGTAAACATGTATTCCTGACCCTATAGTATTAAACCCACCATATAAGCGGCTTGCCCCCTTCCCCTCTCCCCCCCCTGTGGGGAAAGCATTGGATTGGATAAAATCGTCAAGGGGGTGGGAGAAAATGCAGTGTGTGGAGATGCTGAACGGCACTGCTGCCTACTATGCAGCAATGCCCCAGGAAGCACCTCCAGTAGCCATCTAAGGAGTGGCCACTTGGAGGTGTCCCTAGGGGCAATGTAAACACTGCCTTTTCTCTGAAAAGGCAATGTTTGCATAAAAAATGCCTGCATATAATGATTATACTCACCAGAACAACTGCATTAAGCTGTAGTTGTTCTGGTGACTATAGTGTCTCTTTAACCACAGAAAATAATGTTAAGAATATAATAATGAAGCTGTTAGACAACCTGAAAGCAATTAGAATTTCTTACAGGAATTGAGAGAAGTGAAGTGGGAGAAGACTAAGAGAAGGCAGTGTTTATATTACTTCATATGGGTACCTGTAGTGGTTGTCACTCTATACAGGCCTTCTGGTGCGGTCCTGCAATGTTTGCAGGACAACATTCTGCATCTTGACTCTCAGCATGGAGACTTCAAACTCTCCACATAGAGATGCATTAAGCTGTGAATCTCCTCAATGAATAAGGAGATGCTGATTGGCACAGTGGCAATTGCTGTGCATGCAAATTACTCGAAGCATTGGATTGGCTAAAATCATAGGTAATAGGGAGGGGCATTAGAGTGTTCCTTTAAAAGATGAGAAATTCTAGAATCATTAAATTGCACTGTGAATCCTAGCTACATCTATAAGTGCCACTAGGCACAAATATCAACAAATGCCCAGGTAGCTTTTATATTTTTGTTAGATAATATAAATATATATTCAGATATAAGTGCGTGCCAGTGCACCTGGCTCTGTGACATCATTTTGTAGCCTATTTGTGTCTGTAAAGTGGGAACAGCACACAGTCTTTAACATTTATTGCTATATTAAAATTGTGGTGAGTCACTAATTCAGCCACTCAGTATTTTATTTGAGTTCACTTTGATTGAAAATAAGCAATAAAATCTGATGTTGGAGGTGGGAACATTTGATATGAAATGTGAAATTTATTTTACGGTCACCTTATTCCTTGTGGGTTTGGGAGAAGAGGTAAGAGCATGCGAAACTGATAAGGCGATCTTACTTTTGATATAGCCAGTTCTAATGAAAGCAACCGCATTTTTTTCTGGGTATGTTCCGCCTATTGCTAAATAGTATAATATTTGCTAAATAGTGAATTAAAATTTGAAGTTGCCTAATGTATTCCAAATACTTACTAGGTAACGTATTTAATAATCTTATCTAACAAGATAAGTTTTGTTTTTTGTTTTTAAATATGTCTGCTTTGTGTTTATATGGGGTTATTCACAAAGGTGCAAATTGTCAGGAATTAAAAATGAATTGAAAGGGATTTTCAGATTTTAGGCCAAATTAGCCAAACTGAAAACATAGCCAAAATATTAAAATTTGGCTGTTTGTACTTAAAATTTCAAATTCGTTTTAAATCTAATTTGAATTTCCAACAAATCACATGTTGGGGAATAACCTTGACAGTGTGTTTTGCTGCGGTTTGTTAGTAATGTATTCTTCTTCACTTATTACATAGGTTCTGATTAATTTGCTTTGTTTGTTGTCTATTTTGTATACAAATTAATCTGCGCTATAACCAATAAATATTTGTAGAACAACAAAAGAAACAATTGTCATCATACACACAAAAATGTACAAATGACATTGGGATAGCCATCAATCACTACAAAATGCAGTTAGGGCAGCACACCTAGTATATATCTCTTCAAGAGAAAGTCAGTGGATCACCACAAGAAAAAAACACTGTATATATAAAGTCAGAAACAATAAATAGTGCTTGTGTCACTCAGGCTAATAGTGTGTCAAAACACTACCAAAAAAATGTACTAAAAAAAATAAAAATTCAGACAGAAAAGTTTAAAAATTCAGATTAAAACACTCAAAAAATAGTAAATAAAAAGAGCAAATTACAAATATTACATAAATATAAATTACCTGCTTATATGGTTATCAAAGTCCATAAAATATATAAAAATTGCCTTAATATGTTGTCCATAAAATATATAAACATGGATATAAAAATGTGTTACGTTTGCTTTGTGCAGAACCAAGAGACTTTCTAGATCATTATATTTTTGGTTTCCCTTTTAACAATGACAAATTATAGTTATTGTTATTTGATACATTTTGTTAATATGCAGTTCGTTACTTGCAAAGCTATTCTACCCTCTCAAAATAGTTTATACCAGATTATTTTCTGAAAAGTATTTTTACTTCCTTGCTGAATATGACGCACCACTCATTGGAGAATAAAATAAAATTCATCTGAGGTCTAAATTTCAGGTTATCAAGACACCTTCGAGTTACAATGTTTTATTCATATGCTAAATGGATGGATACCTTCAAACTTATGCTACTCTGCATAATGATCATAAATACTCAAGGTAAGACAACTTTTCTACTGTTAGTAAGAATATACAAATGTCAAATTAATATCCTTAGCATTAGCAGTTTTTTTTTTTCAATTTACATTATATTATTTGTTCCTTTTGATTATACAAACAATAAACAAACATAACACCAACGGCAGAACTGTAATAAGAGGAGAAGGAAAAAAAAACACAAACACAAATTGCTCTGTTTTTTTTTCCTTTACTTAATTTTGCCACCTTTGTATCATTGCTTTTCCTCCAGTTTTTCCTTCCTTATATTCTGAAGTAGAGTTTGATAGAATTTGGATAACTTTTTATTACCTAATATAATTTTTTAAAGGATGCAGGGATTCAAATATGCATATTCCTTTAATGCCTAAGGTATGTAAATATGATCATGTTTAAAGATACATAATACATTGTTTTTTTGAAATATCATATTTTCTACACAGTATTTGAGTATTTGAACATTACAAATACCTCTAGAGCAGCGATGGCGAACCTATGGCACGCGTGCCACAGCTAGTACGCTGGTTTGCAGCCTTAGGCCCACCGGCGGCAGGGCTGGACTGGCCCACCAGGATACTGGGAAATTTACCGGTAGGCCGCCTGCCTTGAGACCACTATGTGCTTTGCCTGCACCCAACCACAATAATTACAGGTCTCTTTAACTAGATAACCATAACATTTTAGAAAGTAAGTGGTTTGGTGGAAATGACTGTTCTAACTAAACCCAAAAGAAACCATTTTGAAGGTAACACCAATTGTTCCGCTTTTATACTTTTATAGATAATTGGGCAGACCAGATGGGCCGAATGGTTCTTATCTGCCGTCACAAAAAAAAAGAAATTACTTATTTTTTTTTCACTTTACCATCAGTGTTTGTTCTGTTGGTCTATTTTTCTTTCAATGTCAATCCTAACCCTGTTCCATGTCAAAAATATCCACGGTTTTTGTAAACTTTGGCCTGCGGTAGGTACCTCCTTGTCACAGCCCCCCTAAGCTGTAGAGTGACCCGTCACTGAGAATGTGTCGAGAGTAGACCCTCTTGTTGGGAATGCTAGGGAACTTAGTCCAGGAACGTGTCTCAAGATCAAAAACCACAATGTGCTCACAGCGTATTTGGACTGGCGGCCACCTGCAAGATTTAAGTAGTGGTAAGATTTTGTTTAATGTATGTAGCAAAAGCAGAGTCACAATGAAAAATGGATAATTGTGGTATTAGGGTGGCAACCGCAAACAACATCTATGCTGCCCCATAAGGCCAACTGATGTGTATGTCGTCACAACAATTTAGTCCCGAAGCATCCTGTCCCAGCATAGATTTTTCTGGTTATTTAACACAGCTGTATACAAATCTTTATAGACTATATTTTATAATTGAAATATTTATCCATTGATCTTTAAGGTGATAAAGTATGTGTGATCATACCAGTGAGAACAGACATTTGTTATAGATTCCGCAGAAATTGTGGAGAGAAGGATTGCCATTCTTATGAAGGCAGTGAGAGGCTGCTGCATTGTCTAAAGGGGTGTTTGTGACTTTATGTAGATATGTTCAAAACACATGCAAAGCTATTCACTAAAAGTCTGAATTTGGTCCAGATGGGAAAAAAAAACACAACCAAATTTAAACTGGATTTGCAATTCTTAGTAAATACCCCTGGAAAAGCCTAATTGGCGAAACACGCAACGGGACTGTTATGTATAGGGTTGGACAAAAGACATAGGATGACATTTTTCCTATACTACCTGAGACAATACCACCCATACTAGACTTTTATACATTTATTCATTACACGCGTATTCTCTGTTGCTCGTTTGATTTTTCACCTCACCCAAGAGGTCTTCTCAGTTAATTATCTGTATTATCATTCATTATTTTTTATTTTCATTATATATTCTTTCAAGGATATTTTCTATTTCCTCGGATGGAAGGGGGGTTTAGCATTTATTAAGGGGTGCCCTCGAAAGCACAGTAGTGTAGAGACGGGCTGTACTTGCTCATCTATACTCTGAATCTCATTTCACTCTAATAGACGACTTGCAACATTATAACCTTGTCTCACTTTATGTTACCATTTATCATGTTATTTATTTTTCGTTACTTAACCTTTTTATATTTATTTTACACATTGCTAATTTCTGTGATATTATTCTCCACAGTTTTAGAGTGGATAGTCTCTGATTTTTCTATTTTTTTTCTATTTTCCTTATTTCATCTTCTATTTTTTATTTTTGCTTCTTACATTGTTTAATTTCATTTATTCACTATTATAAGTTTATTCTTATTTATTTATACATATTTTTCTATACCAAAGTTTTGTAGGATTTATTCCTAATCTAGATACTCTATTTGATCCTCTTTGAGATTGAGGTTTTCATACGCATATATATATATATATATATATATATATATATATATATATATATATATACATACACACACATCTCTGGCTGAAAACTAAATAGATTTGGGCCAAAATGACTGCTTTGTAATATCATTTAAGTTCCGGGACTCACAACCCACCTCTTTCCTTGTTGTAAGGCTGAAGTTCCAAAACAAGGTCTTTTACCTCCCCAGATAAATGTATTCATTTATTTTTTTAAGAAAAGAGAAAGGTAACTCAGCTGGAAGAGTACATGATATATAGATATATAACATAATCATTTCAACACAAGCAATTCTTCCCAACCATGATAATTCAAATTGTCAGATTCCTTTCATATGGACATTATTTTTAATTTTCGTAAATCCTCTGTTATATTAAAAGACAAGGCATTAGGTTTATTAACAGCCAGTTTGTCATATGAAATTTCAAACACGTCATATAAAGTGGTGATTGAATAAGGAAATACGTGGGTTGCAAATAGCTAAAATTATATTGTCCGTAAAAAAAGTTCTGTGGTATATTCATTCCCATTATATAGGTATTCTTTGAGTATATCCTAGTACAACCTTCAGAACTTCAGATGTTGTAGAATGCATCTCCCTTGATGCTTTGGCCACTTATGGCTGTGAAAGCATTATGGGAGATGTAGTCAGGGCCGCCATCAGGGCATGACTGCCATAACGGTTGTAATGGGCCTGGGGGGCCCGGACTGCTCAGGTGGCCCCAGGCCCCACATTCAGTGGCGTACATACCGGGATCGCAGGGGGCCCGGCCGCCCTGCGACCCAGTATGTATGCCAGTGTGGCCAACCTCTTCTCAGGGCCCACCGAGGCTGGCCCTGGTGTCACCGGGCGGGCTGGCTGGCGCGCAAGGGAGCACGCTCCCCTGAGTGATTCCTCTTCAGCTCCCTCTTGCACCGCAGTGATACCGGAGCCGGAATATGACGTAATCTTCCGGCTCCGGCATCAGTACACTGCGCGCGAGCGAGCTGAAGAGGAAGCACTCAGAGAGAGAGTGCTCCCTCACGTGCCCGCCAGCCCGCCCGCAGGACCGGCCGCCGGGTGACACCACTGGACCCCAGGGAATCCCCTCAGCACTTCCAAAGGTAGGGAGGCTGGGGGGATAAAATAAAAAAAAAGAAACGTGTGTGTGTGTGTGTGTGTTAGTGTGTGTTAGTGTGTGTGTGTCAGTGTGTGTGTTAGAGAGTGTGTGTTAGAGTGTTTCAGTGAGTGTGTTCCTGTGTGTGTCTGTTACTGAGTGTGTTAGTTTGTGTGCGTCTGTTAGTGAGTGTGTGTCTGTCAGTAAATGTGTGTGTCTGTTAGCTAGTGTGTATGCGTCTGTTCGTGAGAGTGTGTGTCTTACCTGATCCGCCTCTCGGCTCCGAATGCGCATGCGTGGCAAGAGCCGCGCGCGCATTCAAACCGTCCATGAGAAATAAATTACTCAATGGAAGGGGGAGATCACGTTGGCTGGAGCCCTGGAGCCGGAGGTCCTGAGTATTGGTGCAGCCCCCACTACCTGTATTCTGCACGGGTCCCAGCACACTTGAAATATACTGGCCAGATGCTCTGCTCTGTCAAAGTCTCATTCCTCAGGACCTCCGGCTCCAGGGCTCCAGCCAATGTGATCTCCCCCCTCCATGGCCACAGGTGAGATACAGGGAGCGGGGAATAAAACAATACAATTAATGGATGGAAAAATAAACTGTAGGCTTTCCCCCCCACATTTTGCAGCCCCATACACTTACACACACTATACACTAACATTTACACACACTATTCACTAACACACACACTATACACTAACATTTACACACACACTATTCACTAACATTTACACACACTATACACTAACATTTACACACTCTATTCACTAACATTTACACACACTATACACTAACATTTACACACACTATTCACTAACATTTACGCACACTATTCACTAGCATTTACACACACTATACACTAACATATACACACACTCTGGAGTCACTACACAAACACACACACACTCTGCAGTCACTACACACACTACATCCTTACACAAACACACACTCTGCAGTCACTACACACACTACTTCCTAACACAAACACACACTCTGCAGTACCTACACAAACACACACACACAGCAGTCACTACACACACTACATCCTTACACAAACACACACTCTGCAGTCACTACACACACTACTTCCTAACACAAACACACACTCTGCAGTACCTACACAAACACACACACACTTTGTAGTCACTACACACACTACATCCACTACACAAACACACAGTCTGCAGTCACTATACACATATTAAATACTTACACAAACACACACTATGTAGTCACTATACACACACTACATCGACTACACAAAGACACACCCTGCATCCACACACTGTATTCACTAAACACTACATCCACTATACACACTCTGCATTCACTACACACACACTACATCCACTACACAAACACACACTCTGCATTCACTATACACATCGCATTTAATACACACAAACACTACATCCACTACACAAACACACATACACACTCTGCATTCACTATAAACACACACTACATCCACTACACAAACACACACTCTGCATATAATATACACCTCATACATTACACAAATGTACAATCTGCATCCACTATACACACTGCTTCCGTTAAACACACACCGCATCCACTTAACCCACAAACTCTGCATCCACTACACACATTCTACATCCACTATACACACACCAGAATCAGTACAGACACTGCATCCCTGTGGGCGGACTCGGGGGGGGAGGGAGGCAGCACATTGGGCGGACTCGGGTGCAGGCACCGTGGGGCCCAGACCTTGAGCTGTGTCAGGGGCCCCAAAATTTCTGATGGCAGCCCTGGATGTAGTCCACAATAGCTGGAGTGCCAAAGGTTGCCTAAACCTGCCCTAGTAGTTGGAGCTGAGTACAGGGCTAATATAGCTTTTTAAAAACATATAGGAAATGCAAAATGTTCTAAAACCTGAAAGAAATAACCCCAATGTACCCTGTTGAAAGTGTTCTGCATCTAAGGAAAGTTGTAGAGAAAGTATTCAGAATTTAGGAAAGAATATCCACAAATCAATGCATGCTATATGAGGTCTGTTAACAAACCGAGCTTGATTTCTATATATAATACTTGGTACTATATTGATACTTAATGTGAATATTACTGTTATGTTCCCGCCATGGCAGGGCTGAGGTTTACTGGTAAAATTAACAAATGGAGTAAGAATTTAGGGAAAAACAGCTATATTCAAATTGTGTCCTGTTATACAAGGAGGCACAAACACATATGTTACTAAGTAAAAAAAAAAAAAAACTGTAGTTGTATCCCCAAAAGCAATGCTGTAACAAACCATAAACTCCATCATTAGGATTTTAACACAAAATAACCATTGTCTATGCTGTCTGTGGCATTTTATGCCTTATGAGCACTTACACATAGACGCTATATGATACAATTTAACTGTATTTGAATGTATCTTTAATTACCAACATAGTAACAGGTCTGCTGTTTCCTTAAAGAGACTAAAGATCCACCCTTACACAATTTTAAAAAGTCAAGAAAAGTGTAAGCACACCTATATTTTATATCTAATGTTATAATGATAGTTAATTCAATGTTTGCAGAAGATTATACATACAATTACTAAATGCAAAAGGCACTAAAGTATTAACTTTATTTATATTCATAATTTAATGTATTTATACCTTTAGATAATGGTGACTTCTATAGCTTAATGAAGGAGTGTTGGTATATAGATCATGCCTCTTCAGTCTCACTGCTCAATTTTCTGTCATCTAGGAGTTAAACCACTTTGTTTATGCAGCCCTAGCCACACCTGCAAGTAACATGAAAATCCTTCCTAAACATAGAAACATAGAAACATAGAATGTGACGGCAGATAAGAACCATTCGGCCCATCTAGTCTGCCCAATTTTCTAAAAACTTTCATTAGTCCCTAGCCTTATCTTATAGTTAGGATAGCCTTATGCCTATCCCACGCATGCTTAAACTCCTTTACTGTGTTAACCTCTACCACTTCAGCTGGAAGGCTATTCCATGCATCCACTACCCTCTCAGTAAAGTAATACTTCCTGATATTATTTTTAAACCTTTGTCCCTCTAATTTAAGACTATGTCCTCTTGTTGTGGTAGTTTTTCTTCTTTTAAATATAGTCTCCTCCTTTACTGTGTTGATTCCCTTTATATATTTAAATGTTTCTATCATATCCCCCCTGTCTCGTCTTTCCTCCAAGCTATACATGTTAAGATCCTTTAACCTTTCCTGGTAAGTTTTATCCCGCAATCCATGAACCAGTTTAGTAGCCCTTCTCTGAACCCTCTCTAAGGTATCAATATCCTTCTGAAGATACGGTCTCCAGTACTGTGTACAATACTCCAAGTGAGGTCTCACCAGTGTTCTGTACAATGGCATGAGCACTTCCCTCTTTCTACTGCTAATACCTCTCCCTATACAACCAAGCATTCTGCTAGCATTTCCTGCTGCTCTATTACATTGTCTGCCTACCTTTAAGTCATCAGAAATAATCACCCCTAAATCCCTTTCCTCATATGTTGAGGTTAGGACTCTATCAAATATTCTGTACTCTGCCCTTGGGTTTTTACGTCCAAGATGCATTATCTTGCACTTATCCACATTAAATGTCAGTTGCCACAATTCTGACCATTTTTCTAGTTTACCTAAATCATTTGCCATTTGGCTTATCCCTCCTGGAACATCAACCCTGTTACATATCTTAGTATCATCAGCAAAAAGACATACCTTACCATCAAGACCTTCTGCAATATCACTAATAAAAATATTAAAGAGAATGGGTCCAAGTACAGATCCCTGAGGTACCCCACTGGTGACAAGTCCAAGCTTCGAATATATTCCATTAACTACAACCCTCTGATGCCTGTTACTCAGCCACTGCCTTACCCATTCAACAATATTTGAATCCAAACTTAAAGATTGCAGTTTATTGATAAGCCTTCTATGTGCAACAGTGTCTATAAACACTTACTATAAAGTGAGATCTAATGTTTACACTTCCTTTATTGCAAATTCTGTTTAATTTAGAATTTCATATCTCCTGCACTGTTAAATGCTTGTATGCCAGAAGAGGGAAATAGCCCATTATTATTATTATTGTCATTTACATAATGCAAACATATTCAGCAGCGCTTTATAATATTATAAAAGGGGGATATTTAACAATAAATGAGATAATTACAAAACATTACAGGAGCAATAGGTAGATGAGGACTCTGCTCAAACAAGCTTCTTAATTTACAGGCCAATATGCAAGGAGGACAAGGAGTGGAATATAGTTTGTCACTTATTGATTGAAGAATAGGTGAAATGCATTAGTGTTATTTTACTTAGTATTTTTAATTTTATGAGCTGTATCTAATAAAATTTGTGAATTTTTATTGTGCCTTGAAACACCCATAAGATTTTTTTATTACTTCTTGGAACAGCCCACAAGACTTGACATTTTGGAAATGCTCTGATCCAGTCTTCTAGCCATCACTATGTGGCCCTCACCAAAGTCACTCAGATATTTTCGCTTGTCCATTTTTCCTGCTTCTAACACATGAAATTCAACATTTAGCGCTTCCTGGCTGGAGCAGGGGAAAAACCTTAGCACTTCTGCCCCAGTCTCCGTGGCTTGACTGGGGGGTCCTGGAGCGGGATAGAGACAATGATTAACTCTTTTCTCCCCCAGTAACTGGATGACACATAGGTCTGGGAGTCTAACACAAATACTTTATTGGTACAGTCAATTTATACACAGATATTCGCAGGGGGTCTCCATTCTATTCAGCACAAGTCCCTCAGTCTCAGGCTGGAGGGGGATGGTTTACAGATAACCATCTCCCGCTCTAGGAGATACCAACAGTACAACAATTACATACAGTAAGACACATCACATATATTTGGAAAAACATAGGGGGATCCACCCCCCCGGGATGGAAATGGAGCACACACACATAAAACATACATCCTGGGATCCCAGCTAGGATCCCTGCAAATCATTTCCAAGACAGGCGGCATTATATGGTGAAACAGGCATACATAGTCCTGTTGGAGCTCCCACTCCTGGTTAGACAGAAAAGACAGATCCGGCTGCAGTTCCGCTATCTCTATAAGGGCCAAGCTGTCTTCCCGCTCAACTCGGATGCACCAGAAGCGGGAACTGTCAGTGTCTCCTAACACCAAACCATCTTCAAAAACCTCCCACAAAAGACCAGGGCCATTGTAGTCCTTCTTGATGCATTGGAGATTGACTAGCCAAGGGTAGATAGAGAATGCATGCCACTAAAAGGCTCAGAACGACTCATCCAACCACACTTCGGTTATGACAAGCGTCTCTAGTTCTATTACCAATTCCTCTAATGGCTGGTCTCCCTGAAATGGCATCCGCAGCTTTAGTTGTTCCCATCAGCGCTGGTTGGAGGTTGGGAGTTCCTCTCTCCTGAAGAAGAACGTTTCAAATTGCCACCCTCCATTCTGATATGCTCCTGTCCGAGATAGGGTCATCACTTCAGTGCCTTCCATATCCCCGTTCCCGTAGGTGGGTGTCCCCGAACAGGTGCTGGTTCCCCACAGCTTGGAAGCCATCCCACCACTGCCATCAATTGTGGCAGAGCTCCCTGTACCCTGGCTGGGTACCTCCACCAGGAACTGCAGAGGAAAAACCTCAGCACTTCTGCCCAAGTCGCCATGGCTTGACTGGGGTCCTGGAGCCTCTCCGCCATGGAGCAGGCTATGGACAGTGACACTCTGGTACTTTTACATAGCACAGTAATGTGCGATAAAAGAAAGATTCTTGGTGTGAGAGAGCCGCGTCCGGGCACTCACCAGAGTGTACTGCACATATAAATGCAGAAAATTTGGCAGAGTCATTAAACAATTTACTTATAGATAACAGAAACCGTCAGCGTATTAGTTATCAAAGAGGATGTTTAAGCGTCCACTCTCTAAGGTTTTTTTCTCCCCCCAGTAACTGGACGACACACAGCTCTGGGAGATACCAACAGTACAACAATTACATACAGTAAGACACATCACATACATTGTGGAAAACTTACGGGGTTCCGCACCCTGGGAAGGAAATGGGGCACACACATAAAACATACATCCTGGGATAGCCTCGGGCCCCAGGTAGAATCACTGCAAATAGTGGGGCTATAGGATGTACAAAGCCCGAGAAATCATTGTGTAAAGTCTGGGCTTGGGGCTCCATACATACCCGAAAACAGTTCCATGGAATTACTTGGTTTAGGCCGTTAAATTCAAACTTCGAGCCTAAACCAGAGACAAATCAGCGCTCAGGGAGGGGAGGCATTCTGAGCTAAGCCCTTTAACTTGTGCCTGCCTTTCAGGGGAAAGCTCAGAAAACCAACTTGCACCAATTGGTGCTCAGGCAGGGGAGGTGTTTTGCCGGCCAATTTGATTGATAGCCCTTCTCCTATTGGCTGGCACGGACTTCCAGGCGGCCAGCGGGACTCTGCGGCTGTGAAGCCAACTCACAGTTCCAGGGATTCTGCTGGGGCTCGTGTCTCTCTCTGGTGGATATTTCCACATAGTTAGCACCAGAGCGAGCTCTCTTTGGGCAGCCACTAGCCTGGACTCGTAGCTCCCAGATAGGGAGCCCCTGCAGCCACTGTCTGCCTTGCTGACAGTCCGGCTGCAGGCAGGAGGCTCCTGGATCTTCTCTGGCCAGTGATTATGGCTCCATTAGGAGCAGGTAGGGCGATCCCCCACAGGAGGACCTGAAAACAATGAGGGCAAGCAAGTGGGCACGGTACTCAGTGACAGCATTCCGTCACACAAGAATTGACTGTTCAATTGCTGCCTAATATATCCCACCCCTAGACAGGTGCTTTTGTAACAATATAATCAATGTTATTCACTTCACCTGTCGGTGGTTTTAATGTTGTGGCTGATCAGTGTATTTATTATTATATTTTTATTTTCCCAAAGTTAGTTTGTAGTTATCAGGGCATATAAGATATATGACAGTTTATGTACATATCTATATGTATGGATAAATAATTGCCAGTTAATTGGTTTCTCTCTAGCTGATCCCTGTACATTTCTTGAATTTTCCAATGGAGTTGTTGAATATTCTGGTTTTTTGCCTGGATCAATTGCAACTTTCACGTGTCATGACGGGTGAGCTTACACATAATCAATTATTTTACAACCACACATTTGCAAAGAAATACATGTATGACAATAATCTTATTTTTACCTAGGTATCATCTTAGTGAAGATACATCTATGCAGTGTTTGGAAGATGGTCAATGGAAAGGCATTCTCCCTATGTGTCGACGTAAGAAACTACAACTTCTTTACTTTCTTTAATGCAACATGCACTACTTAAACCAACCCTGTTTCAAGGTATATCAAGGTGCATTCAGTCATCTTCTGGGGGGCAGAGGGGATCTGAGCCATATTGAGTCTACTATTTAATATTTTTGGATACTTTTTCAAATTATTTAAAAGATTTGGATAAACTTTTCAAATTATTTAATATTTTGAAAATGATTTTACAGTTTGATGGTTTTTGATCTAGTTTTTATATATGGTATATTTTTGATATTTTAAGATTTTGAAAAAATTTTTTTTAATGTTTATCTAAAAATATAAAATCATTTAAAAAGCTTATTCACAAATATTAAATCATGTCCTTAAAGGAGCACTATAGTGCCCGGAAAAAAAACTTGTTTTGCTGGCACTATAGGGTTATTAGGTCCCCAGCACCCTCAGGGCCCCCCTCCCGTTGGGCTGAAGGAGGTAAAACCCCTGCAGCCACTTACCTTAATCCAGTGCTAGACTCCTTCGGCACTGGTGACCTCTCCTACCCTGCCGACGTCAGCTCCTGAGTGGACCTGAAAGCGCATGAGCGCCCAGAGCCGCGCACACATTCAGACTGCCCATAAGAAAGCATTACTCAATGCATTCCTATGAAATCGATTTTCGCATTGAGAATTGCAGAAGCGGCCTCTAGTGGCTGTCAGGTAGACCGCCACTAGAGGCTGGATTAACCCTGCAGTGTAAACATAGCAGTTTCTCTGAAACTGCTATGTTTTCAGCTGCTGGGTTAAATCTAGGGGGACCTGGCACCCAGACCAGTTCATTGAGCTGAAGCGGTCTGGGTGCCTATAGTGGTCCTTTAATATGGCTTAATGTTAGTTGTTTTTTTCTTCTTACTCAAACCTCATTTTGTAGACCAGTCTAACCAGATAAATTGTCCTATCAAGGGAGGCCGAAAGCATGATAATTGTTCTATGTGCAAAAGAGTTCTAGATGATGGCCACATAGTAAATATTTCAGCTGACTTCTGAATAAGATGATGTGCCAGTAGAAATAAATAAATAAACCAGTAGTGTAAATTGAGATCTATACTTATAATTGTGTTACAGGAAGCTGCCCAGAACCTCCAATTCTATTAATTGCTCAAGTCGATGAAGGGTTAAGCAATGGGTTTTATGCAGAGGGACATGTTGTGTTCTACAAATGCCCTATTGGCTACTCTCCCATTCATTTTATGCCAAAAGGCACTAAATGCCAAAGTAATTTTACTTGGTCAGAAATCAAAGAATTCTGAATTACTAAGTATGCATTGTTTCATAACTCAAAGTAACTTCAAGTCTTTTTTGTTAAGTTAAAAAAGGACAACTCTACGGCCTGCCTTCTACCTCCTCTTCTTTCCTTGTTTTCCTTCCTTTCTTACCTCCCTCTTCGCTCTCTCTTATTTTGTCTTTTGTATTTTTCCCGTCTATGTCATCTATTTCCCCCCTCTTGTAAACTTCTCAAATAAAGAAAAAAACCTTAGAGAGTGGACGCTTAAACATCCTCTTTTATAACTAATACGCTGACGGTTTCTGTTATCTATAATTAAATTGTTTAATGACCCAAATTTTCTGCATTTATATGTGCAGTACACTCTGGTGAGAGCCCGGACGCGGCTCTCTCACACCAAGAATCTTTCTTTTATCCCACATTACTGTGCTTTGTAAAAGTACCGGAGTGTCACCTTAGTCGCAATCCTTAGTTAGTGGCTCTTATTACCGTCATTTTGTGATGTGATGTTGACAATGTCTTTATTTCTTTGTACCACCCACTTAGTATCTATGGTCTAAATAAAGAATTGAAAAAAAAGAGGGCAATTCTAATGGTCTTCCACATTGTGTAACTCTGAAGCACCTTGCAATATCATAACCAAACGAGCAATGGACGAGCATGTTATTTCGATTTGTGATTTTGAGTTTTTCCCATGGCACCAAAAAATGAGATGATAAATGGTTAATGGACAGTAATTAAATGTTGATTTTATTCACAGATCAGTTGCGAACAATAGTGGGGAAAAAAGTAGGGCCAGTTACATAGTTACATAGTTACATAGCTGAAAAGAGACTTACGTCCATCAAGTTCAGCCTTCCTTATATTTGTTTTTTGCTGTTTATCAAAAAGAAGGCAATAAAACCCAGTTTGAAGCACAATTTTGCAACAAGCTAGGAAAAAAATTCCTTCTTGACCCAGAATGGCAGTCAGATTTATCCTTGGATCAAGCAGTTATTACCCTACATTGAAAGATTATATCCTTGAATATTCTGTTTTTGCAAGTATGCATCTAGTAGCTGTTTGAACATCTGTATGGACTCTGATAAAACCACTTCTTTAGGCAGAGAATTCCACATCCTGATTGTTCTTACAGTAAAAAAACCTTTCCTTTGCCTTAGACGAAATCTTCTTTCTTCCAGTCTAAACGCATGGCCTCGTGTCCTATGTAAAGTCCGGTTTGTGAATAGATTTCCACACAATGGTTTGTATTGGCCCCGAATATATTTGTATAATGTTATCATATCCCCTCTCAGATGACGTTTTACTAAACTAAATAGGTTTAAATTTGTTAACCTTTCTTTATAGCTGATATGTTCTATTCCTTTTATTAATTTTGTAGCACGCCTCTGCACTTTTTCTAGTGCCATAATATCCTTCTTTAGAACAGGTGCCCAAAATTGCACAGCATATTCAATATGTGATTTATAAAGAGGCAAAATGATATTCTTGTCCCGAGAATGAATGCCCTTTTTCATGCATGACAATACCTTACTGGCCTTGGCCACTGCTGATTGACATTGCACATTGTTGCATAGTTTGTTGTCTATAACAATTCCCAAGTCCTTTTCGTGTGTTGTTATCCCTAATTCGCTTCCATTAAGGGTATACGTTGCTTGTGTATTCTTTACGCCAAAGTGCATAACTTTGCATTTTTCAACATTAAATTTCATCTGTCATTTGAGTGCCCAGTCTCACAGTCTATCTAAATCCCTCTGCAGCAAAGTAATATCTTGCTCACATTGTATTATTTTACAAAGTTTTGTGTCATCTGCAAACACTGAAACATGACTTTCAATGCTCACTTCAAGATCATTTATAAACATGTTAAATAGAAGGGGTCCCAGAACAGACCCCTGAGGGACACCACTTGCCACCTCAATCCAGCTTGAAAATTTACCATTAATGACAACTCTTTGTACTCTGTTTTTAAGCCAATGTTCTACCCAAGAACAAGCATTTTCATCTAGACCGATTTCCTTGAGTTTGAACACTAATTTTTTTGTGTGGAACTGTATCAAATGCCTTGGCAAAATCCAAATAGATCACATCCACTGCAACACCCTGATCTATACTTCTACTTACTTCTTCATAGAACGCAATCAAGTTAGTTTGACATGACCTGTGCTTCATAAAACCGTGCTGATTTTTGCTGATAACCATCTTCTTCTCAAGGAATTCTTGAATATTATCCCTTAATAACCTTTCAAATATTTTACCAGCCACAGAAGTTAAGCTCACAGGTCTATAATTTCCAGGCAAGGATTTTGAACCCTTTTTGAATAATATCTGCCTTCCTCCAATCCTCCGGAACACTTCCTGAAAGAAAAGAATCTTTAAAGATTAAAAACAGAGGTTCACTTATTTCTGCACTTAGTTCCTTAAGTACACGTGGATGGATACCGTCAGGCCCTGGAGCTTTGTTAATATTAACTTTCTTTAGTTGCTGCAGCACCTTGTCTTGAGTTAACCAATTACAATTATTCTGCAAGTTTTTGGTAGAAATCATTTGCACATCTATTGCCATGGGTTCTTCCTTAATATATACGGAGGAAAATTAAAAAAATTAAAATCTATATTTATATATTCTATGTTTACAAATTGCCATATTTTTGTTCCTTCTATTGGTTTCTTTTTCTCACTTGATCTGTGAACCAAACGCGCTCATAAGTTTTACTGCAAAGTATACAAGAAAATATTTTGCAGTACATTGATTTATCACGCCTTTTTGGTTTGTCTGAATCATTTTTCCAAATATTCTTGCATGAACAGTATTAGGATAAACTGAACCGCCATATGGACAACTATCGAACAACCGAATAGGTTTTTATTTTTATTTTTTGATCGAAGTGATTTGACCAAACAGAAGTTCTACATCAGACACAGGTCTATAAAAAAGTATGGTAAAAACCAAAGAAAAGAAAAAAAGTTACCTGCGCTCTCTGCTTAATCCCTATGTATATTTAGACAAATGAAGGTCATTTAGTTGCTCCAATGACCATTGGAGGGAATGCCCACCTGCCAAAGTCAAGGCAGACCCCCCTTATATTTTTATATACACCCCTATATACTTATTAACCCTTAATAGGGAACACATGGGATGGGTGGCAGCATTGTAACAAAGCTGTGTGATACAAAGTAAATACAAATACAAAAAGATAAGTCCTGCGCTCACTCCCATCACTACTGGGCCGACAGCAATGACTACAGTACACATCAGCCCCAATATATAGTAAAAACCAAAGAAAATAAAAAGTTCCCCGCGCTCTCTCCTTAATCCCTATGTATATTTAGACAAATGGAGGTCATTTAGTTGCTCCAATTTTGTATTTATAAAAAAGTATAACATGGAAAATAAAAGGAATATGGATACACAGCACATTTTGCAAATCTCTCTGGGGATTTAAAAAAATACAAAGGGATCTATTTTCTACAGATTAGTGGAAGGAAATTTCATGGGGAAAAAAAGCGAATTACTTCTTTACGCACAATAGTAAATGTATGTAACAGCCATCCTTCGTAGGTGACATATATAGAAAAATAGCCATTCATATAATATTGCATGATATCTGTTTTTTTTACAAAGCCTTCAAAACTCTTGCCATTCGTAGTTAACCACATTATCCATATGTCATATATTCAGGCTTATTCACAGCTAATTGGTCAGAAATTTATAAAAGTGAAATTTACCTTATAGGACACCATAACA